GTAGTCATCACTGATGGAAGATATGAGGAATCGGGGTGATTAGGAAAATTCGGGCTAAAAATAGTTCAGTCTTTTCATTTCTGGTGACATTTTTGGCCAAAGGTCGTGGTGAAGGAGACGATCCTACAGGAAATGGTTAACACTCCATATTAGCGGGTAGGGCTGTAGAGAGAGAACCATTGTGAGGAATATTGTAGGACGGGGAATAGTAGAAGGGTGTGTGGCCATAGACAGTGGATCCATTGTCACCCCGCACCCTCAGGCACAATGTGTCCTCCAACATGCATGTGATACAGACCATGCTTTCAGGAAGGACGCTCAAGCTGGGGGTTATAGCTGATTCTGCGCCGTAGTCATGAATGCCACGCATTGCCCAATGCTTCGGGTCTTGTCCTTTGTTACTCGTCGTGAAATCTGGAGGCACACACGCGAAAAAAAAAGCCTTGGGTGCATTCTTCATCATGCTCTATTTTCAAACTATGCTTGAACTTTTCACTTATTTATACCATACCAAGACCTACTCAGCTGAACACATATCCTGTGTGTGGGGGGGGGGGGGGGAATGGAACAGCTCTCCATTTTTTTATCACTGTCTGCCTGTTGGTGACATTTTCCTTGAATTCCTGTAGAACTGAAAAAAGCAACATTGTGTTTCATTTCAAAACTGAATTTACTTCTGTGAATAGTTCTGTAAAACTGCAATAGAATCACCTAAGCTGAGGTTACAATATGCATTTATGCATGTCTCTCACAAACGCATACAATAAATACAGTGGGGATCGAACGTTTGGGCACCCCAGCTAAAAATTTGTATTAATGTGCATAAAGAAGCCAAGGAACATCTCACGAGTAGAAGGAAAAATGGATTCAATAAAATTTCAGGAAATTTTGGATGGTAACTTGTGATGCCATCTGTGAAAAAGCTGAAGTTAAAGAGAGGATGGCTTCTACAAATGGATAATGATCCTAAACACACCTCGAAATCCACGTGGGATTACATCAAGAGGCGTAAACTGAAGGTTTTGCCATGGCCTTCACAATCTCCTGACCTCAACATAATTGAAAATCTATGGATAGACCTTAAAAGAGCAGTGCGTGACAGACAGACCAGAAATCTCAAAGAACTGGAAGACTTTTGTAAAGGAAGAATGGGCAAAGATACCTCAAACAAGAATTGAAAGACTCTTGGCTGGCTACAAAAAGCGTTTACAAGCTGTGATACTTGCCAAAGGGGGCAGTACAAGATATTAACTCTGCAGGGTGCCCAAACTTTTGCAGACGCCATTTTTTTGTTTTTCTGTTATTTTGAAAGTGTAAATGATGGAAATAAAATCTAACTTTTGTTGACATATTAAGAATGTCTAATCTGTAATTTGATGCCTTTTGGAGATTTTTTCCATCTTTCCTTGGCTTCTTTATGCACATTAATACAAATTTTTAGCTGGGGTGCCCAAACCTTCGATCCCCACTGTACATTTCTTTTGCAGACAGATACCTTCACATATACATAACACTGCAATCTACATATATAACTTTAACAAACAATGAATAGACTGATAAGCATATGGTGGGAAAGAGGAGACTTTCACTGGGGTGTTCTTCCGGAAGCTGAAATGGCACTGCAGTGGTGGATGAAAACATCTTTATTAACAAAATACAAAGTACTTCCTGTTCTTTTTGATAAGAAATAATAAATAATAAGAATAATTTATTAACATAATAAGAATAATAAAAAGGGTGCAATTGCAGTGAAGACCCAATAGATGGCTCTATACTCAACACAATGTTACTCATCGTTTGTGAAATCTGGAGGCACACACCCGGGAAAAACGCCTTGGGTGCATTCTTCAACTTTGCATATGTACAACAGGTTCTGTTTTCAAACTATACTTGAACTTTTCACTTATTTATACCATACCTTTAAAGATCAACTCCACTGAAAACATATCCTTTAGTTTTTTTTAGGATAGTGGGAGGGGATTGGAAAATCTGTCCATTTTTTTATTAGTGTCTGCCTATTGGTGAGATTTTCCTTGAATTCCTGTAACTCGCCCTACTAACGGTTAGCCGATAGCTAGCTAACAGAACTGACAAAAGCGGCATTGTATTTCATTTCAAAACTGAATTTACTTCTGTGAATAGTTCTGTAAAACTGCAATAGAATCACTTAAGCTGAGGTTACAATATGCTTTACGTGTCTCTCCACAAACGCATACAATAAACACATTTCTTTTGCAGACCGCTACCTTCAAATCCACATATACATAACTAGGGATGGACTGACCATTTGGAAACTCGGGCACTGCCCAAGGGCCTGGGGTCAGTAGGGGGCCCCATGAGATGCCCCTGGTACCTTTTTCATAGGCTTTTTTGGTTTGGGCAAGGACACGGGGCCCCATAATCTCCTATTGCCTGGGGGGCCCCATGAGTTGTCAGTCCGCCCCTGTACATAACATTGCAATTTACATATATACAGTATAACTTTAACAAACAATGAATAGACTTACAAGCATATGTGTATCAAAGAGGGAAAGAGGAGACTTTCACTGGGGGGGTTCTTCTGAAAGCTGAAATGGCACTGCAGTGGTGGATGGAAAATCTTTATTAACAAAATACAAAGTACTTCCTGTTCTTTTTGATAAGAATAATAAAAAGGGTGCAATTGCTTTGAACTCCCAATAGATGGCTCTCTACTCAACCCATATATGCAGAACATCCTGTCAAGACAAGCAGTGATAAAAAATCTCCGATTGGGGTATAGACCCCACGTTTTTAGTATTTTAGTAGAGTGGGGAGGGTTTAAAACTTCTCACATTGTTTTTATTGACTTTCTGTGCAAGTGACACCCATCATGTATGGGTGTCACAAAGGACAGGAAGTGAGGAAAGTTCTCCACAATGTCACAGAAAACACCCAACAGAAATTATAACTCTCCTCCTCAGAGGTGTAGCTTGAAGCTCGTGGGCGCTGATGCAAAAGTTGATCTGGGGCCTCCCTACTACCACCAACAAACTTCCAACCGCCCACCAAGATACTCCCGTCATGCACCAAGAAAGTTGTGAGGTCTGCTACTTACTGAAGTATTGTCTTTGACTGTATGGTGGTCTCATTGTCTCCCTTCTCACTCCCCTGCTGTGGACTGCTCGTGCACACAAGGTGGGGGCAGGTAGGTCACACTCTGAGCGGTGGGCTTGTATGTAAAAGAGGAAACCTCAGACCCCGCCCAGGTGAAAGGGGGCCCTCTGACTTCCAGATTCACATACAAGCCTCTGACTTCCAGATTCACATACAAGCCCTCTGACTTCCAGATTCACATACAAGCCCTCTGACTTCCAGATTTCACATACAAGCCCCTCTGACTTCCAGATTCACATACAAGCCCTCTGACTTCCAGATTCACATACAAGCCCTCTGACTTCCAGATTCACATACAAGCCCTCTGACTTTCCAGGGAAAGAGGGACTTTCACATACAAGTTCCCTCTGACTTCCAGATTCACATACAAGCCCTATGACTTTGAGATTCACATACAAGCCCTCTGGCATCCAGATTCACATACAAGCCCTCTGACATCAGATTCACATACAAGCCCTCTGACATCCAGATTCACATACAAGCCCTCTGGCATCCAGATTCACATACAAGCCCTCTGACATCCAGATTCACATACAAGCCCTCTGACTTCCAGATTCACATACAAGCCCTATGACTTTCAGATTCACATACAAGCCCCTCTGACTTCCAGATTCACATACAAGCCCTCTGACTTTCAGATTCACATACAAGCCCTCTGACTTCCAGATTCACATACAAGCCCTCTGACTTCCAGATTCACATACAAGCCCTCTGACTTTCAGATTCACATACAAGCCCTATGACTTTCAGAGGTCACATACAAGCCCTCTGACATCCAGATTCACATACAAGCCCCACTGACTTCCAGATTCACATACAAGCCCTATGACTTTCAGATTCACATACAAGTCCTCTGACATCCAGATTCACATACAAGCCTATGACTTTCAGATTCACATACAAGCCCTATGACTTTCAGATTCACATACAAGCCCTCTGACTTCCAGATTCACATACAAGCCCTCTGACTTTCAGATTCACATACAAGCCCTATGACTTTCAGATTCACATACAAGCCCTCTGACATCAGATTCACATACAAGCCCTCTGACTTCCAGATTCACATACAAGCCCTATGACTTTCAGATTCACATACAAGCCCTCTGACTTCCAGATTCACATACAAGCCCTATGACTTTCATTCACATACAAGCCCTCTGACTTCCAGATTCACATACAAGCCCTCTGACTTCCAGATTCACATACCATCCCTCTGACTTCCAGATTCACATACAAGCCCTATGACTTTCAGATTCACATACAAGCCCTCTGACTTCCAGATTCACATACAAGCCCTCTGACTTCCAGATTCACCTACAACCCATCGATTTCACCAGACAGCTCAGAGTATGGCCTAAATGCCCCCACCTTGTGTGCAGAGTAGGTGGGGAGCCGCTGTACTGGGCAGGGTAGGGAGGGGCTGTATTGGGTGCATAGGGGCTGGGTGGCTGGTAGGTGAGCAGAGAGTGCACCTCTGGGGGACAGCGCTTGCCCCATCGCTCTGTGTAGGTGAAAGGTGGAAACTCAGAGGGCACAAGACGGGCCTGAGCGGTCCCCTGCTTGCCGGCCCAGGTCCTCTGAGTTTACTGAATTACCTACACAGGGTGAACTGGCAAGCACTTCTCTTCAGCAACACAGTGCAAAACCAAATGTGACAGAGAGGCCGCATGGGTCCCCTGGAGCATGGGGAGAGCCGCCATTGCAACCTCTGCAACCCCTCAAGCTCAGCCCATGCTTCCCCTATCTATCCAAAACTGCTAAAATGAAAAGTGTCTGATGTTGGGCTTTGAAGATATGTCTTCCTAAATTACCAATGTATGTTTACTATGCCGCACTGCTATTGACGCCATATTAATCCTCCCCAGATGTTCGTGGCGCCCGCAATATCGCAGTTCCCAAATTCAGGAATGTGTACGGCAAGGTGGCAAGTCGAGAGAACTGTTACGAATGCATACCCATCACCAAGAACGTGCATGACAACTCTTTCTGTGCCGTCAACTCCAAGTTCCTAGCCATTGTTACCCGAGAGTGCGGGAGGGGGTGCATTTCTGGTGATTCCCCTCCACCTTTAGGTAAGTGGCACAAGTTATGTTTTCTTCTGTTTGACAAATTGGAGACTTAGACCGGAAGAAGTCATGACATTATATAATGAAGCAATCTTGGAAGCTTGTAGGCTGCCAATGATGGCCTCTCTGAAGTGGCTAGTTGCCTAGCTGTCATACTTATCCAGCAGCCTCTGACACGTACAAAGAGCAGGAGGTCTTACTTCATGTTGCTTCACTTGATGCATGCTTGCTCAGAAAGTTTCGAAACCAAAGATAGCCAGACAAACTCACATTTTCAGAGCTGGTCATCAATGACTTCCTTGGTTTTAAATTGAATTTGAAGGTTTGATATTGGTCACTGAGGTTCTCCCACTGGACTGATGAATGGCAAGGGTGAAACTTAGCTCAGGTGGATGGGGTCTAAAGGACAACCATCATTAAAATTTAATTCACAAAGACACAGATCTCTCATTCTTAGCATTACGTTTTTTTTTTTTGTTTTTAATTACAATCCATTGATTTTGTAGGGCCTAATGGAACTGCAATTGTTCATTCAGCCAAACTTTGATGTTGCATGACATCTGACCTACATATGCCAAGGCACGCGGGTGTTGGACCATATGGAACAAATTAGTGGTTTCACACATGGTACCCTTTTTAAGGTGCCATGTTTTCACATGTCACCTGGTCGCTTCTAATTTAAATTGCCGAACAATTTTGTTCAAACGCAAGTGATACTGAACATGAATATTGGCAAATTTTGAGATCAAAATGTACTCTTCATCTCCATATCGCCTTCCATTTCTCTAAATTATTTTTGATGGTAATATCCTGGAAAGAAACCGGGACAGATGACACCAGCAGTGACCAATACTTATGGGTGGTTTTTTTTTACCAAATCAGCATGCCCATCAAAGAAGTTTCACTACTAAACGCACCAATTCCGTTCACTTTGCTCTTCTACTACTTTGAGACCCATTTGACCAATTCCTTGGCTAACTCCTGACATCTTATATCCTCATGGGCAAAGTGACATATAAGCATGGCCGGGACAAGGGATGGGCAGGTAAGGGACAATTGGCCGGGGTAGTAGAACAGTGATTAGCAGACAGGGCCAGGCCATAGCTTCATTTCTGTGCATACTCCATGCCAACCATGGACAGCTGTTGCAAGAGGGCAGTGAATGGTACCTAAGGTACACCAATTCGATGGCATGCACTAGGAGTGGGGGAGAGGGCACATTTCCACATCCTTGCCCAAGTCGCCGAATGAACCTGTCCTTATACTGCTTATAAGTAGGGTCTTTGCGATTAACTGGATGTTGGCACCAAAAGAACAAGTCCCTGCCCCACTCCTCTCCTTACTAGAACACTGTCCCGTCTTCTGAGGCCAACCCTCTGCCATATTGTGCCCACTCATGCCAGAGGCCTCCACACAACTTTCCCGGCTGTTGAATTTTTTTTATCCTCAAGGAAGGATTGTCCCACACAGAAATAGGGTTGCTGCACTTTACTGATGGTACTCAAGGAGTGGCGAAACTAAGTCACATCACATTGACATACATTCTTGAGTCACTTGAGAGCCACATTGTCATTCACATTTACTGGACGGTCTTCAGTAGTCACGTGTGAAAGCATCACGCAGCACTCTTAAGCAGTCACCTTTTCTCTAAAAGTTTCCTCTCTCACCCCAGGTCATTAGTACTCACTGGAATAGGCTCCCTGTAGTCACCTCCTTCCTGGGTATGCCTCTCCTGGGACCTTTTCTTGGAATAGCTTCACTCTTAGCCTGTTCTAAAAGCACTTTTGCAACTTGCCCCTGGCCTCCACAGGAAATCAGGAAGTCTACAGCCAGCTATTCTGGGTGCAGGACTACTTTTTCCTGTCCAGAGCCTCAACTTCTTGGCTACATCTACTTAGGTGTGGGGTGTTTGGCTCCCATACCAAAACTGCACTAGGGGCATGACACTGTCTTCTGTAACCAGACACTATTCTGGAACAGGGCCACCTAGTGGCAGACTAACTAACTTCACCTGTCTACAGACTGACTTGCTCAGAGGGTATGAACCTTCTGAATGGATGGTTCTAGCTCTGATTCATTGGAGGGAGGGGGGTTCAGACCAAAGCAGAGAGGCCACTGCTTAAATTCACCACTGCTTAGATTCTGTGTTCCATTGAATCCAGAGTGGGGTGCAGCACACTATACATATCAGAAAATTCAGTGGAAGCCAGAGGAAATGTTAACTGCTGGCTTTTGTTCTGGTCATATTGAACGTTCCCGTATGTATTCTGATTGTATAAAATGTAAAAAAAACACCCCCCACAGTTGTGTCCTCTGCCCCACTTTACATCACCCCCAACTGTAGTGTCCTCTGCCCCCTTCTCATCACTCCCCCAATGTAGTGCCCTCTGCCCACTCCCCCCACAGTAGTGTCCTGTACCCCCCAATGTTGTGTCCTCTGCCCTCTTCTCATCACCCCCCCACAGTAGTGGCCTGTACCCTTCAATGTTGTGCCCTCTGCTCCCTTCACATCACCCCCTCCCCAACTGTAGTGTCCCCCACGGTTCTGTCCTATAGCACCCCCAAAGCAGTGTCCTCTGCCCCCTTCACCCCCCCCCCACTGTCATATCCTTTGCGCCCTTCCACCCCAGTAGTGTTCTGTACCCCAAAACCAGTGTCTTCTGCCCCTTTACCTCAACTCCCCCCCCCCAACTGTGTAGTGTCCTCTACCATGCCCCATAGCAGTGTCCTCTGATTCCCCATCCTCCATAGCAGTGCCCTCTGTCCTTTTTTTATCATCCTCCACCCCCCTCCATTGTAGTTTCCTCTGTCCCCCCTTCAACAGTGTCTCCTCTATCCCCTCCCACAGAATTTCCTCTGCCGCTTCCCACAGTGTCCCCTGTGTCCCCCCTCCCACAGTGTCTCTTCTGCCCCCCCTCCCACATGTCTCTTCTGCCCCCCCCCCCAACACAGTGTCTCCTCTGCCCCCCTCCCACAGTGTCTCTTCTTCCCCCCACAGTGTCTTCTGTGTCCCCCCTCCCACAGTGTCTCCTTTGCCCCCCCTTCCCACAGTGTCTCTTCTGCCCCCCCTCCCCACTTCTCAGTGTCTTCTGTGTCCCCCCTCCCACAGTGTCCCTTTGCCCCCCCCCACAGTGTCTCTTCTGGCCTCCTCCTTCTGCCCCCTCCCCCACATCCTGGCCCCCCTACAGTGTCACACACAGGTAGCACTTCCTCGACCGACCTGTTGGCTCTCCGCCGTAGACCAGTCGATCGTAAACGATGGCTTGCGGACCCCCGATATACAGGATGAACCATTTGTAAAGAAAACATGAGCGAGCCGACAAAACCCACTTCTTGTATTTCTTATGGAATTCCTATTCTGTAACTGAAGGTGATAACAGAATGGCCCAATCATAGAACAGAACATGGTGACAAGTAAACCAATGAAATGCCCTCTGTTCAAAACTGCACCCCCTTAATTCCTAATCCTGAGTTTCGCCCCCTTTAGCATCAATAAATGCGCGCCATCTTCTGTAATAGTTGTCTATGAGGCCCCCCGAATTCCGGCCGGTGGTAGAGCCGCCCATCCGTCTCGGCAAAATGCCTCCAGGTCATGCCAAGTCTTTGGTCGTCTTGCACGAACCGCACGTTTGAGATCTTCCCAGAGCGGCTCGGTGGTATTAAGGTCAGGAGACTCTGCAGACCACTCCAGAAACTTCACCTTTTTCTGCTGTAACCACTGGAGGGTCAACTTGGCCTTCTGCTTGGGGTCATTGTTGTGCTGGAGAGTCCAAGAGCGTCCCATGCGCAGCTTTTGTGCAGAAGAATGCAAATTATTTGCCAGTATTTTTTGATAACATGCTGCATTCATCTTGCCATCAATTTTCACAAGATTCCCGATGCTTTTAGAGCTCACACCCCCCAAAACATCAGTGAGCCACCACCATGCTTCACAGTGGAGGGGTCAACAGCGACAAGAGTACCAAGCGCTTAGTTTTGACCATAAAGCTCTGTTTTGGTCACTTCAGATTACAGTGTGCCAGAAGCTGTGAGACATGTCAAGGTGTTGTTGGGCGTATTGTAACCGGGCTTTTTTGTGGCATTGGCACAGTAAAGGCTTCTTTCTGGTAACTCAACCATGCAGCTCATTTTTGTTCAAGTATCGTCGTATTGTACTCCTTAAAAAAACACACCGTCTTATTCCAGAGCAGCCTGTATTCCTCCTGAGGTTATCTCTGGGTTTTTCTTTGTGTCCTGAACAATTCTGACAGTTGTGGCTGCAATGTTTCTTGATCTACCTGACCTTGGATGGGCATCAAGAGATCCCCAAAATTTCCACTTCTTAATAAGTGACTGAACAATACGGACTGGCATATTTAAGGCTTTGGATATCTTTTTATATCCTTTTCTACCTTTATAAAGCCCCATTACCTTGTTATGCAGGTCTTTTGACAGTTCTTTTTCTGCTCCCCATGGCTCAGTATCTAGCCTGCTCATTGCATCCATGTAGGAGCTAAAAAAACTCATTGACTGTTTATACACAGAAACTAATTGCAATTTAAAAATCCACAGATGTGGGAAACTAACCTTTAATTGACATTTTACCTGTGTGTCACCTTATGTGTCTCAGGTGGATTGGGCCGGGTGGCAGGGTGGCAATTGCCCCATGGGCCGCTTTGATGTCATGTAAAAAGGCCGAACTGCGTCTGTTCCTCACTGACAGGAGTGGAACCTCCTGTCAGAAAGAGCAGCGGCCGATAGCTGCAGCTGGAGAGAGGATTAGGTTTTCTCCTTCCTCCAGCCTACAGACGGAAATAGAGCCGATGCTCAGTCTCAGCGTGGCGGGGGGCAGGGGTGGCATGAGGCTGCCACTAAATTCCCTGATCTGAGTACAAGGGTTAAGGAGATCAACTTCCTCAGACTCCGCCTCCTCCTCAGACCTCCCCCTCCTCCTCCTCAACCCCTCAAACCTCCCCCCTCTTCCTAAGACCTCCCCTCCTTCTGCTCAGACCCCTCCCCCAGACCTC